AGTTTATCGTTTACCATTATCCAATTAAGTTTTTGTTTAACCCCGTCTAGCGAGATCAGTGGTTGTCTCCAAGTTCTAGCTATGGTAATGCGTGCCACCAGTAAGAGGTATAAAATTAATTTAGACAATTTTTCGGGAACGTCACCGGGTAGCAAATGAAATAACGCCACTTCTGGTGATCTACGAATATTAATTCCTGTTACCAAATAGATAAAATTAAACATTCGGATCCAGAATCTATTCACTACCGGACATTTCCAGCAGATATGGAACATAGTGCCCTCTTGTCCACAGCGCCGGAAGCAACTAGGTAATACTGAAGGGTACATTTTAGCAAGGCACGTAGGAACCAGATACCAACGAAGTAGCGTTTTATAATTGGATTAGATAAGAACAGTATTAATCGAGATCTTTGATAAACTATGGGCCGCATTCCGCCAAGTATCCAGGTCTAGTGAGCTATTCAGATCCCCTTCCCATTGAGTCATATAAGATAATTTAGTGAGTGGATCAACAAGGGAAGCATAGATAATGGACAAACGACCCCCTCATCCTCCCAGGAGACCTCTAAAGGAGTGAGTGTGCAAGGTTCTAAGATTAATTTGAGTTTGCTAGTGATAAAAGAGATAAGTTGATAGTAGCAAAACAATTCCCCCGGAGGCATCTAATACTTTGTGAAAAAGTACTGAAGAGAACGAGGACGAAGCCCATCCAGGTAGTCTCCGATACGCAGCAACCTCTTATTCATCCACCATTGGAACACCAACGGTGATAAGCCAGGAATTGTTTTGTGGTTTTAAATTGCCACTTCTTCAGTTTACTGTGATACCTTGATGTTTCTCATTCCCTGGTGATCTAGTTCAGGTCAGGGTGAGTGCAGTGTAAGCCCCTTAGGGCCAAAACCCTTGGACCTCCATGGAACACCATTTTCCAAATCCCAGCTTGTCACTGTGTTGGGCCTGCCTTGGGCAATGCAGCACAATGGTGTGAATGGACTCTTAAAGCCATTGTAACCTAAAAGTCCTTCCCAACAGAGATAATGAAACAGAAAAAGGTATAACTAGTGCCCATTCCAACCAGAGTTCATGTTACATCTAATGTTGGTAAATGATGGGTTCTATGGACAATAGCTCGGTTTTAAATGGATCCTGGTTTAAACAAGATGTATGTCTGATCTGTGGAAAGTGGAGTTTATGGAAGTAACAGTAACCATCTTGCTATGGGCAACAAACGCGCTGTGCCATTACTTTTCCTATAGCAGTCTCAGGACCCCTGATGAGCACAGGGACAGACATTGTGCAAACTACGGAGAGTAAAACTCACAAAAGCATCTTCTTGAAAGACTATGTGACATTTTCAAGGCATTACGATTTATTTCCTAAGTGCTGCAAAATTGCATTAGCGGAGAAGTGCCTCTTGTGTGAGGAATGACATCATTTTGCCTATTTGTAAGCACTCAGCTCAGAAAATGGCAGCCACTCAGGAGAAGATAATGCAACAATTGGCCGTTTGGCTTTCATGGATACAACCAAAGACATCAAGTTTCAGTTCCCTGAACTCAGCTTGGCCTGTTCATCTAATTTAAACTTTTTAAAACTCCAATTTAAAGTGTTACTAAACCCACAAAAGTAAAATCAGTCTGTATATGCAGTAAAGCATACTTGTTATACTCACTTTGGAACCTAAGGGGTTAATCCTCTGCATTGTGTAAAAAGGCTGTTTGATTCTGTCTTCTCTGCTCTTCCTCTTGTTCAAATGTCAACGTTTTATCTCCTGATACGACAGACTGAATCCGTAGCCATTCTGCACATTCTCAGTTTAGTGTATATTGCTAGAGAGGTTTTTTTTGTCTTGGGAGAGTGCAAGTGATCAGCACAGAGCCAATCAGCAATGTCCAGACAGAGGTCGGTTGTTGTCCATCCTCCTAGCGCAAACTCAAAACTCCTCTACAAGCTTTAACCAGTGCTCTGCTGGACACTGATAGAAGACACAAGACTGCTCTAACTGCTGAGAAAATGTATGTAGCAGTTTATATTTACTAAAATAATTGCACTTCCATGTTCTGTGTACTGTGGGAGATTGGATATAGTGAATGCAGGGTCCGGGGAGACCAGATATAGTGAATGCAGGGTCCTGGGCTTAGTAACACTTTAAGAGCATAGAATGAAACGTTTCTGTTGTAGTCTTTCATAGCCAGCAAACTCTTCTTTGTTCACCCTCTGATATCATTTTCACTTTGTAACGAAGGGCACTACTTCATAGCTAACCCCCCATCCAATGATAGTGCCTCATTAGCCAATAAGGGTGCTCTCATTGGACAGGAGGAGGTAGGGTGGGCAGGCCTTACCATGCAATGAGGCCAGTAAAGCTCTTGTTAACAAAGTGAACTCACAAAGTTTTAGACGGATGCACAGGGGATGTCTTTTTGCCAGGCACCTTGTCCCTGTGGCATGACTTTTAGGACTAGTTTATACCAGCATTGTTGGGGTGAGTTAGGCAGCATTGTCCAACGCAAGAACAAAGGCAGTCCTATGCTTTCTGTTTACTCCAGCCTTTCTCATCTTTTTAACCCTAGAGGACCCTTGGAAGAATGTTTAGGTCTAAGGAAACACTGCTATAAACAATTCATCAGAGGTCAGTGGGAAGAATGCTCCTTACATTGGTGGTTAGTGAAACAAATACTGCTTACATTGGTGGTCAGTGGGAAGAATGTCCCTTACGTTAGTGGTCAGTAAGAAGAATACTCCTACATTGGTGGTCAGCTAAAAAGACAATTGGTGTTATGCTGCTTGGTCTGCCAAGTTAGCTCTGGAACTATGCAGGCATCATCAGATAGGAGGTTAAAAAGCCACAGCTCAAGGAACCCCTGGTAACCTCTGGAGGAACCCTAGGGTTCCACTAACTCTAAGATCTGCTGAGCAGCTGAAAAGCGACATTAAGTAAAAAAGGGATTGGAAACATGTATATTGCTCTCAACCAATTCCAAAAAATAAAAGTACAAAGGGTATATAAGGCTTTATGTACAATAAGACTTTTTTTTATCAACAGGTTCTACACACAATCAGGGCACTTGCTTCTTTTTTTCGAGTGTACATATTAAGAATTAACACAAGTCACATTTTTTTGGTGATGCCATGGATAGACTGGAAGAGCAGTTAGAACCTCTGTCAGGTTTATATTACTGGACCATGTAAAGCAGGTAAAAAGTATAGAACATGTCATCATTTTTCTCAGTAAATATATTTTCTAAAGGTGCTGTTGACATGTCGGTAACTGTGCTTATTTTACCTGCTGTATAAATGAGGTGCTGGATATGAGTACTCAATGTTTCCTAATTAGGGAAAATGAATATGATTCATAAAGGGCACAGTGGCTTTGGTGAGGCTCTCTCAACAAAACTGGGGTACCCCTTAAAGTGTAAAAGAAAACTCTTTAAAGTTTTGGATAGTGTGTGATAGAGTGTGTGGAAAAAAAAAAAATAATAATAATAAAAAAAAAAAAAAAAACAATAAAAAAAACAAAACAAAAAAAAAAACCCCTAAATCAAGGTTTGATGTAGGACAGTGCTAGGGTTAGTGTTTGGATCAAAGGTCAGGGTCAGTTTTTTTTTTGGTTGGTCAGGATTTTTTTTGTAATTTTTAAATTAGTATCATTGTCAGTTAGTGTCAGTGATAGTGTATTGTAGCAAGAAATATACAGCTAAATAAAAAAAATATTTTTTTTTTACTATTTTGGGCCAGTTTTCCTTTGATAATAAAAAAATCAGGAAATAGCCATTACCATTCACCACCAAATGAAAGCCCAATTTGTCCTGAAAAACACAAGGTCTAATTCACTTGGATGCACATAGTAGTTGTGATGACAAGTTGCAAAATTGTGCTTAGGCATTTAGATTTGTTTTACCCTTAGGCGCGAAGGGGTCTCCTCGAGTTTCATGTCCAGTGTGAACAAGACAGCAGTAAACATTTGACTCTTACCCTCTCTGTTGACAACAAGTTATAGCTGAAGTTGGGATTTAGGATGTAAGATGAAATGTCTATTTACCTGTTTCTCTGGGGATAATCCAGACACAGCCATGTATGTACTTCCAATGGTTTTGATCTTCTCTATATCCTGGAATCTTTCTTCATCTAACAACTGAAAGGAAAATGTGATATAGATTACCACATTGAAAGAAGCACCTTAGTGATCGCGAGATGTGATCAGGACCCAAAACCATGATTTACACACATCTCTGCATGCACAGTATAGGGCAGCCCATTCGTTTAAATGGGCTACACTATGCGTGTATGTTGCCCAGAGGAAACTCCTGATCCTTTTTTGGGTGACGAGCTTTTTCACACATGTTTTGCCTAACTTGCTATGGGATTTTGTTGTACAAGAATTGTGGCACCACATTTGTGCATTTTGTAGCAATTCCGAATCGTGGGTGGAATCACAGCCGTTCTGCCTACGATTCCAAATCGCTTAACCTCCCTGGCGGTCTGATTTCAGATTTTTGGTGCTGAAAGCGGTACCATTATTTTGCATGGAAATTTGGCGTTTTTTATTGTAGGCCTGTAATTTTTAGGAATAATTCACTGAAATCTGTCCGAACAAGAGTCTAGTAAACATCCCGGGTAGGATAAAACTTGAAACACGAAATCATAAATTATAATTTAATAAATAATCATAAAAAATAATAATATAATAATAATAAATGTAATTCAATAATATAATCAAAACCAAAAACACTGAAATTCGAAATATAGAGCCAAGTTCGCACATCGCTGAGCAAAGTCGCAAAATCGTTTTCAGTGTCTGATGACGAATTTCCCCCACGAATCATTATCACTCAATTCTGCAAGTGGTTCTGATTTACTATCGCTGTTCTCTAGCCGGTCTAAAACCACTTTTGACCTAAAGGGACACTTTTTGGACGTCATGGACGTTTCTCAGTTTCCAGGCAGAAAGAACAGTAAAAATGCAAGCAGGGCGCAGGACAAAGCACTCGGGACAAAATGTATGTGAAATGGTTTGATACAGGAATGTTTTACTATGTGATTTTAGTGTATTTAGTGAATGTCACTTTTTGTCATTTTCAAATTTCCTGCCGTTCCATCCCCCGTAGGTCCTGACGCTCGCAGGGGACGGAACCCAGATGACAGATGCCGGCATCCGCCGGATTACATTGCTGGGGACACTTCAGGAGGGACATCGCAGGAGCGCAGGACAAGGTAAGTGATCGAGAGATCGTGGAGCAGCGCCGCATGGTAAGCCCAAGTGTAGCTCGGGGTTACCGCTTGTGGTACTGAAACTTTACCCCAAGCTACACTCGGGAATACCGCCAGGGAGGCTACTGGAAATGAGGCCTAATAATTAATCTATTAATATTCATGGAATTCCTTTCCATTTTTTTATTGTTTTAGACTAGTGTATCTTAAGGAAAAAGGAATATGTCACGTAGGAACAAAAGTTCAGTTTTGACATATGGACTTTTCCCAGGAAGAGCTGTCAAAGGGTATTTATCACCACCTATCGTTTCACCTAGCATTCTACCATCTCCTGAAATTACACCTGAGCATAGTGGGAACTCACGTTCCTTCTTGTGTTATTGTCTTTGTGTGTTTTTCAAGCAGAAATGCTTGCTGCTTATTGGGCAGCCCATTCATTTGAAAGAACTGGACTCAATTCAGCTAATTTAAACTGAAAGTTCAGTTGCTCTTCAAAACTACAACAAACATGACAGGTGCTGCTCAAGGTTCCACCAGGTCCTCTTGCATGACAAATCGCTAGAAGTATCAACAAGGAGGAATGGATCCCTCTGGTCCTCAGCATTCACTCATCCAGCAGTGATTAATCCATATATGAAGAAAAAGCCACACTCCCAGCCGAACTGGAGCGTATCAATGTGAAACTGCCTCAGATAGCTCTCCTACACAGGCCAAGGCTCTGACACAATTCACCCCATAGAAGATGACTATGACTAAGCCCCAGTGGGCAAGGCAAAACAAGTCATGGGGCATGGCCTGAGTAGGAGAGCTATATGAGGCCGTTTCACATTGATACTCACACGCAATGGTTGGGCTGGGAATGCAGCTTTCATTGCATACGTGTCTCAGGAGTTTACAGCAGGGGGTGGGGTGGGGGGACTTCCAATGACAATAGCCAGCCAATTCCATCGAAAGTGGGTTTGGGTCTTCAGGTTCCCATTTTAACTGTGGGAAGCTGGCTGTGACTCCTTGCAGTTTCCCTTTGTACAAGCACATTCTGCAGAGCACTGTGTGGATGGTCCTGAAGCTTCTTCGGACTTGTGACGTGTCCCAGGAGGCTACAGAGGGGTGGATGGTAAAATGTTTGGTGGAATTGCCAAGGCTATTCCAGTGGAAGTGTAAGCAGGTACCTGAGAAAACTAGGTACAGCTCCCCCCCCCCCCCCCCAAAAAAAAAAATTGTCAAACATAGTGGTGGTGAAGAGGACATAAAGCTGAACTTCCATTTTAGGGTGTGCTCAAGGCCCAGGTGTAAAGGCAACTATATTCAGTTAGCCCCCTTTGACAGCTAGCAACTGACATTGTGTGCAGCTGCTATTAGAACCCACCAACAAAAGTGAACCAATCTGCGAGAAACAATTCTGTGTAAGTTGATCGTAGCACAGGGTGCTCACTTTGGATGCCAAAGGTTGTGTGCCTACAGACTCCACTAATGGAAATCTGGCAGTGGAGATTATGAAATAGTACCGCGCTTTTGCAAAACAGGTAGGGGGCGCGCACGAGGCGTGCCGCCGCCCTACCTGCAAGGCTGCAGTAGCTCTGCTTTCTGTCAGTTCCCTGTCAGCTCCTGACATGCTGATCCAGAGAGAAGAGCTGGGCGACAAAAGAACATTATTTTTGGGTGGATGGCATGTTGCATTATCCAAACCTCGAGACCTTCGATCTGCCTTTCCCATCAGTGATATTTACCTCATCAAAATCAGCGATGATCTCATTGAGTAAGCGCAGGCATTCCACGCCTTGGTTATTCATTTCTGTTTGGGAGTAGAAATCAGCGAATCCAGGGATAGAAGCGAACATAACGCCTACAGCATCGTAGGACTGGGAGTACAGCTCCTGAAACAGAAAAACACCAACACCGCGCTTCTAGTCAGAAGTGTAAATGAAAGCCACGGGCATATTGCAACATTCAGCTTATAACATAACCTGTGTCAGACTAAAACATCTGACTCTCTCGTTCAGCCCTTAAGGCAAGGATGTCAAACTCGAAAGAAACACAGGGCTAAACTAAATAAAATACGGTTGCAAAGCACCATGGTGGATCTACTGAGGGTTGCACCTACAGAATTCCAAAATAGTAATACTCTTTATGGATATATTGTTTTTAATAAATATGCATTTTTATATGTATTTTTATTAAATTCAGCTTAAATTATTTTTAAAAAAAAAAGGTAGTTTTAATTTTTTTTCTCTCTTTTGATAATTTTAACAAAGCTTTACAAAATATAACCACTGGATTTTTCACAAAATGTACAAAGGATTTATCAACGGTAAAGTACACTTGAAAAGGCAATGATCAATCAAGCAAAATATAATCCATATTATGATCTTCAAAAATATGTTAAATGGGAGAAAGCCGTCCCAAGAAGTGCAAGTTTTGGGGTGAAGGTAGATTTTGCACAATGAATAACACAAAGCCACCTCTGTGGCAGATGAATCAAAAAACAAAATAACTATAAAAAAAGGAGAAAGAAAGTGGGAAAAAGGGGGGGGGGGGCAGGGAAAGTAAAAAGACATGATAGTACTCCTCTAAGAAAAAATACCAAGTTTGAGTAAATTATAATAGATTGTCGTAACTGAGTCCCATATTGGTCTGTCACCGGAGACCTAGATGGTTAAAAGTCTGCGGGCATATAATTGGAGATTCAGGGTTCCCATATTTTTTAGAAATTTAGACATCCTCTCGTCTGTTGTGGCTGCCATTTTCTCATAATTCTTGCAACACAATATTTAACCACTTCAGCTCCAGAAGGTTTTGCTCCCTTTATGACCAGGCCATTTTTTGCTATTTAACTACATTAACTGGTAATTGGGTGTTCATGCAAAGCTGTACCCAAGCAAAATTTAGATAATTCTTTTCACACGAATAGAGCTTTCATTTGCTGGTATTTGATAATCACTGGGTTTTTTTATTTTTTTATTTTAGAAATGAAAAAAGACCAACATTTGTGCACTGGTGTGCAGTCATTTTGGAACAGGAAGGGTCCCCAAACTGTTCTCACAAAGTTGGGAGCATGAAATTGCCCAAAATGTCTTGGTATGCTGATGCCTTTAGAGTTCCCTTCACTGGAGCTAAGGGGCCAAGCCCAACCCTTGGAAAACAACCCCACACCAAAATCCCCCCTCCATCAAATTTTACACTTGGCACACTGCAGTAAGCAAGTACTGGCAACTGCCAAACCCAGTCATGTCCATCGGATTGCCAGACAGAGAAGCGTGATTTGTCACTCCAGAGAACACATCTCCACTGCTCTAGAGTCCAGTGGCAGCGTGCTCTACACCACTGCATTCACCTTTTTGCATTGCACTTTATGACATAAGGCTTGGATGCAGCTACTCGGCCATGGAGACCCATTCCATAAATCTCTCTACACACTGTTGTTGTGCTAATCCGAAGGCCACATGAAGTTTGGAAGTCTTTATCTATTGACTCTGCAGAGAGTCGGCAACTTCTGTGCACTTCAGCATGCGCTAACCCCGCTCTGTCAGTCTATGTGGCCTACCACTTTGTAGCTGAGTTGCTGTTGTTCCCAGTTGCTTCCACTTTCTTATAACTAACAGTTGACCGTGGTATATTTAGTAGCAAGGAAATTTCATAGGTTGCACAGGTGGCAACCTATCACGGTACCACGCTTGGATTCACTGAGCTCCTGAGAGTGACCCATTTTTTGTAGAAGCAGTCTGCATGCCTAGGTGCTTGATTTTATACACCTGTGGCCATGGAGGTGATTGGTACACCTGAATCCTATGATTTGGAGGGGAGTCCCAATACTTTTGGCAATATAGTGTATATATGGGGCAGTGGTCTGAAGCGGGAGAGTTCTCACACACGTGAATGCCTGGGGATTATCTCTACTGGAGAAACAGAAGATAAGTGAGCGCTTATGTGGCAATATATACTAAGCAGCAGCTGTACACCAGAAAAGGCACCGTATCAAACCTTCAATAGCATATATATGTAAAGGGAGGGATGTGCAGCGCTATATATGCAGACAAATGATGAATAAACACCGATAATGCACAATATTAAACGGTGACTGTAAGTTAATAACGCCACTAAATGGTGGCTAAGGTGAGAAAAGTAAACAGTCCAATGAAGGAGTGCTCTTAAGATTTTAGTTAACACTGGATCCGCCTTCAGAATTTTCCAATTCTGATTAATAATACTTGAGATGGTCTTATATTGTCTAGAAAATGTAGTAACAAAAGGACAAATTTTTTTTTTTTTTTTTTTTTTTTTTTTTACATCTCAATACATCTCAAGTATTATTAATCAGAATTGGAAAATTCTGAAGGCGGATCCAGTGTTAACTAAAATCCTCCCTGATAGACCTGAGATCACCTACAGGAGAGCTCAATCCCTGAGAAATTTTATAGCCCCAAATATTATCAACCCTCCTAGGAATACTTCCTTTTTGAACAATATTACCGGCTTTTTTCCATGCAACAGGTGTATTATATGCACCTGTAATAACAAAAGGAAAAAGAGGGTGGATAATTTTACATCGACCAGTACTGGCAGGTCATTTAAGATCAATAACTTTATATCATGTCATAGTAAACATGTCGTGTATCTTTTACAATGTCCGTGCAAAAAACAGTACATTGGGCGCACCATCAGAAAACTTAAGGACAGACTCCGGGGAACATGTTAGTAACATTAAGAAGGGCTTTAAAGATCATTCTTTATCATTACACTACAGGACCCATCATAATAGGGACCCATCTTCATTACAGTTTGTAGGTATTGATATAGTACAAGCCCACTGGAGGGGCGTAAATAAGAAAAGAACAGTCTCGCAAATGGAAACGAAATGGATATTCCAGATGGACTGTATGCGCCCCAAAGGACTTAATATAGAATTGGATATCAATAGTTTTATTGATAATAGTTAATTGAAACTATTTAGATATCCTTCTATATGTACATTTATATATGAATTCTCTGCCATTGATCCTAATCTGTGTTTATCGTATTTTATTAAAACTATAAGGGTTTCCGTTTGCCATTATAATGATATATACTTGTTTTTAGGTGAACTTATTTTAATAAGTATGTTAGTATTTTAACATTTTGCATGCACTGTT